ACCAAATTTTACTGTTCAGTTAAAAATTACAACATTGTCATGAGTCTTTCATAATTGGATATTTATATTGTTTTCATTCAGTTTATGAACCATGAATGCTCAATAAACATGTGTATGCTTATAAAACAAATTAATTTCTTCTTCAGTCTGTCAAAATATGGCTCAATAGACCCACCCCCGGACTCACCTTCTGATCGGATTATTCGCTAAAGACGCGAAAGCCATTGGTATAATTGATGGATCTCTGTGGAAGTACCATCAAACTCCTAATTATTCATTATTTTAGTTGTATACATCCCTGATAGGCTAGTGATCTTCATAGACCAACTTTTCTAAATGCCCCAAGTACTTTACATGTAATCAACAGGATATACTCTGTGTATCAGTATTTACTCAAATCAAGATGACATTTTTCTGAAAGGGTAGTGGTGTCCACTCGGTGATTCCCAAAAAGGAAAGACCGTACAGGCCCTGTTTTTGTTGAACCAGGAGCAAAAGTATTCTCTGAATGTTAATGACACGAGGTGTTAAAAAAGGACTCGTCAAGGATATAAAAAACATGTGAAAGAAATTTCATTTTCTTATAGGAAAGTGCTTCATCATACAGGTCCAATGCTACCCTGGAGTTTTTGGAGATTCGAAATGACACCATCTCTAGCCTGGACAAATGGCTTACTGACAGTTCAGATGCCAATAATGTTGATTACCATACCTGGGGACATCTAGAACAGCTGGTATTTAAAGATACCCAGCCTATCAGGGATGAAGAGGAACTGAAATAAAGAATAACTAGTAGTTGAATGGTACTTCCGCATACATCCATCAATTATGCCATCAACCAATGGCTTCTGCGTCTTAAGCCAATAATCAGATCAGAGAATGGGTCCGGGGAGTGGGTCTATTGAGCCATATTTGGACAGACTGAAGAAAAAATTAATTTGTTTTATAAGCATACACATGTCTATTGAGCATGCACGGTTCAAAAACTGAACGAAAAAAAAATATAAAATCCAATTAAGACTCATGACAATGTTGTAATTTTTAACTGAACAGTAGAATTGGGTAGAAATAGGCTATTGTTCACAAAATCGATGAAAATTGAAAAGGTGTTTTTTGACCCCCATGTCACATAATTGGTTATATTTCTATATGGGGTTGTTGAAAATGGTGTTATTATATATCATTTTGTTGCAAATTAAATTATCTTTAAAATTATATATCATTGTTGGTGTACATGTTAAAAAATAAATATTTATGAGGAATAATGGCTAGGGGGGGGGGGGGTGTTTTTTTGGCCCACCCTGTATATATACTTTTCTCTATATTGTTTTAGAAAACATATCAGGCACTTCTTTCGTTCTTGGTATCATATGTTCGGAATAAAATGAAACATCTGAAAAGTTTGCATGGATATTTTAATGTTTTGATGTTGATACTTATTTCAATTAAATTACTGCTATATATGACAATGCTTAAATGCAATAGCTACATTGACCAGTTTTTATTCCATTTAAAAAGACCAATGGGGTAGCCTGGGTATTTTGTGAGTGAATGCCATGAGTGAGTGAAGGAAATGAGCTTTGAGGGGTGTTTGGGGATTGGTTCTCCCCTCAAGAAGATTTGAAAATGATATGAGTTGTTTGTAGAATGAATCTGGGGAGCTTTTTCATGCATTTCGCTTGTGTTTTTCATCTCAAAAACATCAATACACTTTAAAACATTTTATTGACTAGAAGATTGCACCATATATTCCCCAAAAATATTTCTCATTTTCAAGTATTATCTATGGATTAACACCCAGGTATTGTCATTTTTCAAACTTTAGAGGGCTGGGAATCATTATTACAATCGCTTTTGAATAATATTAATGCTGTTTTAAATAGGTTTCATGTCTGCCAATAATTTCTCAAATTGTGTAAATGGTACCCCTTCCTTAATCCCAAGAATTTTCTCTTTAAGGAATTTCCCATAGTAATCCAAAGGTATAATTCCAAGCAGATTTTGAGATAACAGGAAAGTTAATCATTAATACATATCTCATAAGATTGTGATATAAACCAAAACAACCCAATAAGGTGTGTATTATTGGGTTGTTTATATGGTGCAATCTTATAGTCAATAAAATGTTGAAATTGAAATTGTTGAGAAAATATTTGACTAATAAGAAAAACATTTTCATTGGCCTTAATTATTTGGTTGTGACTACATACATGTATATAGTGGTCAAGAATAAGGGGCACCCATGACTCTAATGCATGTTTAGATTACTTCAATGAGTTTATCAGTTTTTATCCAGATTCGCACCTTGCCATTGATATACAGCAGTATATTGATGAAAGGCCAATGAAACACATGTATATGTTGAGATATGTAATTGAGACTTGTTGCCAAGTGAATACATGTATGGCAACTTTAATGACACAAAAATAAAGATATTGTGATCGCATATCATTATGTTTGCCAAAGATTGATGTAATATTTCCAAACATTTTCTTTAAAGTTGTACTGAACATTTTACCCCTTGCTGACCAATCTCCAAATATAGTATTATATAGTTTGACAATAATATTATTTCACCTTTACAAAAAATGTTATTATCAGAATTATTGTATCTATTAAACATAATGAAATCAATGATTCTAAATGATTTCCACCATTGAGAATACAATAGATAAAAATTATAATATTTTGGTACTGATTCAAATTTCAAAAATAGGCAATGTTTTTTTATTTTATTTTGAAAGAACTTTGAACTTTTCATAAAAAGTTGCTATGTGCCAGTAAAGCAATGTGTCATGTGTGCCATAAGTTAAACAAAGTACCAGTTTCACACCCATTAAGCTGTTAAGGTGATTGTTCAGTGTAAGATCTCACACCTGCACTCACTGTAATTATTATAATTAGGGAAGTTGAGGAGACCTTTATGACAAAACACTGATGATTACGAGACCATGTATGCCAGGCTCCAGGCCACAATAGACTTTCAAATAAAACATCTTACAGTCTCTTATAATTTCAAACTACAGAAATGTGTAACCTTCATCTTGATTCATAAGGTTTCAGTTGTTCCTATCTCACCTTTGGTGTCTCTAGACCCAGTGGGAAGCAAAGATGGGTAACCTTCATCTTGATTCATAAGGTTTCAGTTGTTCCGATCTCACCTTTGGTGTCTCTAGACCCAGTGGGAAGCAATGGTGGGTAACCTTCATCTTGATTCATAAGGTTTCAGTTGTTCCTATCTCACCTTTGGTGTCTCTAGACCCAGTGGGAAGCAATGGTGGGTAACCTTCATCTTGATTCATAAGGTTTCAGTTGTTCCTATCTCACCTTTGGTGTCTCTAGACCCAGTGGGAAGCAATGATAGGTAACCTTAGTTTTTGATCTTATCATGTTGTAGATGTTTATACAAAACCATTATTTTTTACAGTATTAATAGGAGGTCCTAAAGATGGAAAAAAGCATGTTAATTTTATCCCATGAGTAAATATGATATCTTTGTGTGTATATTTCCTTCAATTAACAACTATTCAATTACTTGTGGGAATCCAATCTTGAAATGTTTTTTCATCAACTGCTATTCAAACATGACCGTGCTCTATTCGAATTTCTCAACCAATCAGAATGCAGCATAGCCAATATAGAACGTTCTCTAATTCTCCATAGATGCACGACCATGCTCTATTCAATCTGCAATTTGCATTGTTTTGAGTGACGTCACATCTCAGCTGCACATCTGGGGCTCTGTCCGGGGATAGCTGTTCTTTTTTACTCCCTCCGCACGGTCATGTTTGAATTTTATTTTATCAACATCCCATGTTTGCATACACCGTATAAAATCTAAAACGGGGAGTAAAATAGAACAGCCCAAACAAATTCTAAAAATTTTCCGGCCGACTTCAGAATCTTGACAGCATGCGTATTCTTCCTTCATGCCCGTTCCACAGACACGGCTTTTACTAATTTTTATGTTTGAATCAGAATAAATAATGATAGGCCGTTCAATATGGTGAAATTCAGCACTCGTTGGACAGAATGTTAGTACAAATGCACTCACCTTCGGTTCGTGCTTTGTACAACATTCTGTCCAACTCGTGCTGAATTTCACCATATTGAATGGCCTATCATTATTTATTCCTTAATTTATTAACTCAAAGGTGGCCTATTAAACTACTTGTCAATTTATTGAATGACATTTTTCTCAAAGAGTTTGACTGATGTGAGAATGGATTGCTGGTATCAATATCAATATAAACTAAGTGTGATTTCCATGCAATAAGGACGTTACAAATCATGGTTGATGTAAATAGTTTGTTATTTTTGTCAGTGTTTATAGCAAGTTGTTATTGGTTGGTTGCTTTTATTACCAACTGAGTGTTCTAAAATAAACAAACAAGTTAATGGGATGACATGCAAACATTCAAGTCCCCATGCAATATTGTTATCATTGAAACAATTTTGAAAAAAGTAATACACTTTTTTTCTGGCGTGACCCGAAATATTTCCGACCAGTGACACCCCTAATATTTCACCATACCATGCCTATCCATTAGGCAATTCAGTAGTAAATTTTCTCTTGGAAAAAATTGAATTTTCCAGCAGAATTCCAACTCTTATTGATCTTATAAGTGGTTCACGAGGCATTACTACATACAAAACCTGTTGATCATGTATATGGTTTGCTAAACATTATTACAATACCTGTTGATCATGTATATGGTTTGCTAAACATTATTACAATACCTGTTGATCATGTGTATGGTTTGCTAGGCATTACTATGATACCGGTTATAATGTGTAAGGTTTGCTAGACATTATTACGATACCTGTTGATCATGTATATACTTGATATGTTGATTTTTTGTAGGTACTACTACAATACCGGTTGATCACATATGATTTTCTCCATATCATAATACCTGTTGATGGCATGTACAATTTGATAAGTACTATTACAAGACCTGTTGCTCACATATATGATTTTCTAGGTACTACTACAATACCTGTTGAATGCATGTGTGGTTTGCCATGGAATATTGTGGGTGCAGTCAGTCCCATGGTGCCATCAATATCTACACCACAGACATCCTGGAAACATAAAGAAATAACTCTATACAGACTGTACATGCAGAAAATGCTTAGTGTGGATATACGGTCTACGCAGTGCGGAACTAATAGTTAATTCTAATTATAATTTGTGATATTTTGGGTTAGTACAAAACATGGCACGGTCATGGCACCCCCTGTACCATTGGCTGCTAGGACACTATTACAAATCAAATTCTTAATTAGAAAATGCCCCTTGTAGATTTATGTAGATAGTGATTGGCTTTACGTCTACCCTTTCAAACATCGTTCAACATTTAAAGCTATATTCCTTGCCAGACAAACTTTTTCCTAATTTTGTAGCTATAACCATGTATAAATTTTCCATGTTTAGCAAAACACGAAAAAATGTTTTGACATGGTCAACATTGATCACATGAAAATGTAGTGCTCAATTCCAGTAAGCTGCCATCTTTTAAGATTTCACTCAGCAAATGATGTCATCGACTCTCAACTTTGCATATACTGTAGTAGTAGGTAGCTACATGTATTAAGAATTACAAAACCATTTGATCCTTTTAAAATTCTCTTCTTTTATTCTATGCTGACAGCTCTGAAAATATTCGAATAAAGCAAGGACCACTTGTCTAGAAGTGATTTTGTGCTTCTTTCCGATACTTGGCAAGGTTATGAAAGTTGAGAGTTGATGACATCACTGCCTGAGAGAAATCTTAAAAGATGGCAGCTTACTGGAAGTGAGCAATACATTTTCATGTGATCAATACTGACTATATTAGAACATTTTCACATGTTTTGCGAAATATGGAAAGTATATTTATGATTATAGCTATCATATCAGGATAGAAATGATCTGGCTAAGAATGTCCCTTTAAATCTATTTATTTAGGACATTAAAGGGTGCTATGGTATAGGCTATGGCACCCCTCTGTGCCATAGGCTCTAGGAATTTTGAGTAAAATTTTGAGAGAAAATATTCCATTGCAGATACCCTTTTAAACATTTGAGCGAATTAGGTCATATAATACATATAGTTCTGCATTCCTCTCTACTTATAACATTAATCTTAACAATACATTAAACATAGGATTTGCATATCGATTCTTAAAAAATATCACAACGCCAAGATAATGTTTGTAAGGGTAGACAATTGTAAGGGCAATTATGATCTACATAAATCTATAAGAGGACATTTTCTAATTAAGAATTTGACTTGAAATAGTGTCTTATGGCATAGGGGGTGCCATACTGCAATAGTCTGTGCCATGTTTTGTATTTACCCGTGATATATTGTGTATATTCATATTAATACCCAATAAAAAGGAAATTGTTTAAATAGTTGTGTAATTCATTCTAGAGGGTGCATAAGTAAATCTTGTACCTCAAAATTTAAAAATTAGATTTCTTCAGACTCAATTAACTTCTTATTTTCACATGAATTTTCTCCTTTCAGTTGTAATACATGTCCAGGTACTGGCAATTGGTTTGTACCATGAATGGATTAATAGGTTACTGTTTATAAACAAGTAGATAACAGAACTGAGAACCTCATTGGTGAAAAAGGAATGAAATTTAACACTATGAGCATTGTAACAATATGGTACAATGACATTTGAAAACAGACAGATGATAAGCAAATCCTGAGAAATACCATGGGGATTCCCAATTAATTGAACCCCACAAAAGCCTCTTTTGATGCTTTCCCTGAAGAGCCTCCTGTTATTGTTCATGACAACACAGCAATGAACCAACATGATCTCCATGAACACACTAGGAACTTCCTGAATTTAAAAATGATCCATTTGGAGAAGTTGTTTTTAAATACTGTTTTCTGATGACATAACAAAAAGCAGGAACCTCCCAATGTTAACCAAGCCAGCCAAGGCCAACCAGCCACAGTTTGACATTCATGTACTGCATGAACTCCTTGAGTATGTTTCCCACTGAAACTGTTTCTACATTCTTGACTTTCTAGCCTATTTCTAGAATGTGAATCTCAACATTTCAAGTCCACTGATCTAACAATGCATATTTCAGAAGTTGACAGGTCTAACAATGAATGAATCAGTTGGTAACTCAACAATGAATGAATCAGTAGGTAACTCAACAATGAATGAATCAGTGGGTAGCTCAACAATGAATGAATCAGTATATGACTCACCAATGAATGAATTAGTGGGTGACTCAACAATGAAGGAATCAGTGGGTGACTCAACAATGAATGAATTAGTGGATGACTCAACAATGAATGAATTAGTGGGTGACTCAACAATTAATGAACCAGTGGGTGACTCAACAATGAAGGAATCAGTGGGTGACTCAACAATCAATGAATCAGTGGGTGACTCAACAATGAAGGAATCAGTGGGTGGCTCATAACAATGAATGCCTCAGGGTATGACCCAATAATGATCTTACATAATGTAAGTCCAAAAATGGAACACATCTTCAAATCATCATATATGTGTGTGTGTGTGTATGTGTGCATACATGTGAAACAATAAAACAATAAAGCAGTAATTCATTGAAATACTGGAAATATTTGAGATGTTTTGCAATTATTCATTTAAATACTGATAATATTTGAGGCAACGTACCAATTATTCTTTCAAATGATTAGAATATTTGAGACAAATAGCAGTAATTCATTAAAAACACTGGCATAATTTGAGTTAACATAATATCATTTGAATAATTGAAATATTTAGGACAATATAGCAGTAAATCATTGAAATGCTGGATTTACTGTTTATATTATCTCTAATATAACAGTAAATCTTTAAAATACTGTAAATATAAGAGATAATATAGCAGTAAATCATTAAAATACTGGAAGTATTAGTGACAATATATCAGTAAATCATTGAAATGCTGGAAATATTAGAGAAAACTCAATCGCTACGCTCACTCATCCAGATATGGATAAAAATGATATCTCTCCAAATCATAGGATATCCTACACTAATATAGCAGTAAATCCTTGAAATACTGGAAATATTAGAGACAATACATTAGAAAATCATTGAAGTACTGGAAATACTAGAGACAATATAGCACTTAATCATTGAAATACTGGAAATATTAGAGATAATATAGCAGTAAATCTCTGAAATAGTGGAAATATTAGAAACAATATATCAGTAAATCATTGAAATTTATGACATATAAGAGATAATATAGCAGTAGATCTTTGAAATACTGGAAGTATTAGAGATAATATAACAGTAAATATTTAAAATGCTGAAAATATTAGAGATAATATAGCAGTAAATCATTGAAAAACTGGAAATATTTGAGACAATATAGCAGCAAATCTTTGAAATAGTGGAAATATTAGAGAAAATATAGCAGAAAATCATTGAAATACTGGAAATATTAGAGGTAACATAACAGTAAATCTTTGAAATACTGGAAATATTAGAAGCAATATAGCAGAAAATCATTGAAATACTGGAAATATTAGAGACGATATAGCAAAAATGATTGAAATACTGGAAATATTAGAGACAATATAGCAGTAAATCATTGAAATACTGGAAATGTTAGAGACAATATAGCAGTTAATCATTGAAATACTGGAAATATTAGAGACAATATAGCAAAAAATCATTGAAATACTGGAAATATCTGAGACAATATAGCAAAAAATCATTGAAATACTGGAAATATAAGAGATAATATAGCAGAAAATCATTGAAATACTGGAAATATTAGAGATAATATAGCAAAAATCATTGAAATGCTGGAAATATTAGAGACAGTATAGAAAAAAATCATTGAAATACTGGAAATATTAGAGGTAATGTAACAGTAAATCATTGAAATACTGGAAATATTAGAAACAATATAGCAGAAAATCATTGAAATACTGGAAATATTAGAGACGATATAGCAGAAAATCATTGAAATACTGGAAATACTAGAGGTAATATAACATTAAATCTTTGAAATACTGGAAATACTAGAGGTAATATAGCAGTAAATCATTGAAATAATGGAAGTATTAGAGACAATTTAGCAAAAGTCATTGAAATACTGGAAATTTTAGAAACAATATAGCAGAAAATCATTGAAATACTGGAAATATTAGAGACAATATAGCAAAAATCATTGAAATACTGGAAATATTAGAAATAATATAGCAGTTAATCATTGAAATACTGGAAATATTAGAGACAATATAGCAAAAATCATCTTAATACTGGAAATATTAGAGATAATATAGCAGTAAATCATTGAAATACTGGAAGAATTTGAGATAATGTAGCAGTAAATCATTGAAATACTGGAAATATTAGAGACAATATAGCAGAAAATCATTGAGAGAGTAGAAATATTAGAGACAATATAGCAGAAAATCATCCAAATAGTGGTAATATTAGAGATAATATATCAGTTAATCATTCAAATTGTGGAAATATTAGAGACAATATAGCAAAAAATCATTGAAATACTGGAAATATTAGAGATAACATAGCAGTAATTCATTGAAATACATTGTACTGGAAATCTTTGAGGCAAAAATTATGACATGACTGGCCACAAAATGATTTTTGGATGTGTTTTCAATTTTCATTCATCATTCGCAAGTTTTAAAATTGAAAGAAAACAAAACGATTAAAAATTGATAAGAAGTGCAGGTGAAGAGACACTATTATCTCTGACTGTTACACAAGGAGAGATTAAGCTGTTTTTATTGATCACAATCTAGTATTTTGTGTTTCACTCAGCACTAAAATGGGAGAGGTAGATAATTCAAATAATTTGACTTACATCTGACAAATTCAAGCTTCTTTCACTGAAGTGCCAATTGATATGATTTATTTGTCCTGTGGCTCAAATGTTTCCCTTTGTGTTGTCTAATCATGTTTTGCCCCAATATATTGTTGTCTCATGTAATATGGTTATAATGATAACAAAGTGATACTAAAATGGTAATGAAATGGTACTGTAATGATAATACAATGGTACTACATGTATAGTGATAACTGGTGCTATAATGGTGACACAATGGTACTTTAATG